CACATATATGTCATCCACTCCATAGTCTGGTACATGATTTTTGCACCACTGGCAGTGGCCTCTTTCACCAACCCCTAAGCCTCTGTTGGGAAAGCTGACATCATGGTGCCATCATGAGGGGGTGACAGTTGTGGTGCTGCCCACCTGCGCGCATGTTGAAGGAAGCAGGGGCTTTGCTGGCAAAGCTGTGCAGCTCCTCCTCCCTCCCTCCCTCTCTCTCTCCCATGGCTCTGTGTACTTGGGAATCGCGGGGGGGGGTGTCATTGCCCCCGCTCCTGACTGGAGGAGCAGGCAGGAGGCAAGCAGGGGAGAGGGTCATGAGGTGCTTGGCTTTGCCCCCCCCTCCGGCTCGGGGTACTTGGGTACCGGCTGCCTTGGAACAGACGCAATGAAAAGCAACCGTCCTAGTAGGTTTCACTCTCCCACTTTTTCCTGACAGAACTACCACCAAGTTCTAGAACAGAACTAAGTCAGTTACAAAGAGGAATGTGGGAGAAAACTGGAGAGCTTCCTGCACACAGCCGAGAGAAAAGCCAGATCCACAAATGTGATAAGAGTAAGAGGAGGCATGATAAGACTTTACTTCTGTCAGTGCCGGCTCACGAGCGGCAGCATGGCTTTGCTCTCGGCTGTGTGCAGAAAGCTCTCCAGTTTTCTCACACATTCTTCTTTGTAACTGTAGTAGGACGGTTGCTTTTCATTGTCTCTGTTCCAGTTGCTTTAACACAGAGATTGACTGAAGTTTTCCCAGAGGTGGAGAAAACTCAGGGCACCTTCGAGCCCTGCTTCCCCTTCCCTAGGCTCACTGTGGGCTTGGGAGTGGGGGGGGGGGCATTGCCCTTCCCCGCCGCCCTAGGAGGAGACAGGCAGGGGAGACGGGTGTCATCCCTGTCTCAAGTTGAGCACACCTCTGCACAGAAGTAAGATCCTCTGGTTTCAATAGAGCTCACTCCCAGCAGGGGACTGCAGTTGGCCCACTTTTCTAGCCGGTACAGTAAAGGTTTCACAACCAATTAGAATAGCTGGCGATTTGCTTGACCATATGGTTTTTGGGTTATCCAATCCCCCCCCCCCGTCTCTTAACTGCACTTCTGTGCTGTTTCCCTTGCCCCCTCCAGCTAATCTCTGCCCTGCTTGCCTCGTATCTTTTGTGTTGCTGCAGCTGATTATTTATGGGTGCAACTTTGTCTCCTATCTGAGGGCATTAACTTGGAAGGAAGTCTCTTTGCACTTCGTGGGGTATGCTGTTGAGTTGGAGTGCCTGAGACTAAGGAACACAGGCTGGAATATCCTTTATTTACTTGTAGGATCGCTGATCGGCGAATGCATTTGCCTTGCCCACTTTTTCCCTGGGCAGGAATCCCTGAGCAGCGAGGCCACATAAGGGTTAAGGGGAGCGAGAGAGCAGGGCTCACTAGAGCAGCCCAGAAAAGGCCCCTCTCTCCTTCCCGTCTCCTCTCCATGCTTTTCTCGGGAGGCCTCTGGGGCGGTGAGAGTTTTGGGCAAAGGGGAGGCTGTGGGGTGATGGGGGGGTGCAGAGGAGGCTATTGCAGGGCTGAGAGATGAATGGGAGGATCCCCTGGGTGGGTGGGGGGAAGGGGGGAGAGAGCTCTTTGGGGGGCTCAGAAGTGGGCACCCCTTGAGAAGGGGGGGACTCCAAGTGGGGGAAGAGGGTGGGCACCCATCTCTGTCAGATGCTTTCCTTGCGACCCCTGCATTGTGGAGGGTAGACTAGATGACTCTTGGGGTCCCTTCCAGCTCCGCAGTTCTCTGGTTCTGTGGGGTGGAGCAAAGGAGCCAATTCCTTGAGGCTGTGAGGGCTTCAGCCTCCAGCACGTGTGCACTCGCCCTGGCTGAAGAGTTCATTTATCCAGTCTGTATAACGTTTATTGCACATGTAACTTGTTAAGATGCAGTTGTACATTTATCCACTCCATGTTTACACTATTTTCGGGCTTTGTTTTGCACATGGCACCTTAGTATGTTTGTTGCTTGAATGGTTACAAGTCTATCTCTATTCCAGCTATTATTCTAGTAAATTTGTTTTTATACTTATAAGCCAGTTTGTGGTGTTGTTGTTTTGTTGCATTATTATTACTGTCACCACATTTGATACTTTGTGTATATACTTTGCACTCCCCCTGGGCCTTGTTTGGTTCTTACAACACTGCTGTGCCAGTCCTGCTAGGTAGTTCCTTAGAAAACCTCCTTTCTCTCCACCATACTGTCCCTCTCCACTGTGATAGGAATTTTATGGTCTTAGATATATGGTAATGTTCATAACCGCACATACATAGATCAGCACAGGAAGACCAACCTGGAACCATTTTGATTCCTAAACTGACCCAATGTTTTCTCTGCAAGGTCAAAGTGGAAAAGCCTCCCCATTGTCTTTTCCTTCACAAATCCTAGGTAGTTTCTTAGAAAACCTCCTTTCTCTCCACCATACTGTCCCTCTCCTACGTGACTGCCTAAGTCACGCAGAACATTTAGTCTAGTCCCCCTAGTCCACTGGGCCAGGGCAAGTACCTTTAGGTGGTGGGGAAGCTTACACTTTGATAACTGCATGGTGGTGTTTCTGCTTACACCCCCATGCCCCTTTTAACCTTTAAACCAAGGCAAGCTACTCACTTTAGAAATCTCTTAAGAAAGGTCCTGGGAAATACTCTAGGTGGTGATTTTGAGGTGCCCAGTGACACTGACCGCAGGGGAAAGATTTTAACTGGAATTTTTGTTAAGCAGGAAAATGTTCCTTGAAATAACACACCACATTTCTGCATTTGTTATGGGGGCCCCTGATTTTGAAAGTGGAGCAGCTTAAGCAGTTCCAGCCAGAACTCACCTTCTGGCCCCTCTCAGGTGGGTGCCATTGCCATCTAGAAAAATAGCACTGGGCTTAAGTATTTAAAGGCACACCTCATTTCTTGCTTTGAGGGAAAGATTTGTGACCTCCCTTTTCACATGTTTCCAGGAATTGAGGTGTCTTGGGATACAAATGTACCACACCTTATTCTTTTCTTGCTTTAACCACTTGGTGACACTCCCCCATTTAAGGAGAGAGGCTACCAAGTGGCCAGGCTGTGGGACGCCCCCTCCCTCTTGAGGTGTGTCTGACCCCCATCATTGTGTATATTTTGCTGGTTAGCCAAGGCATATCGTTTTGCACATGTTTTGGGGTGGAATGTGAGTCCAATCTTCCACTCCCTCTGCAGAATTGCCTGCTGGTTTTGCCTGCTGTTTGACACAGTTTAATGGATAGTCTGGTGTTGCTACTGTCATAAGAGAATCAGGGTCAGAGCGGGGAATAAAGGAAAAATGATCCTAATGATATCATCCTACCCAACAGCCCCACAACAATAATAAACTGTGCCTTGAAGAACGCATCATTGGGAATATGTCATCTTACTGTGTCTTTTCACGTATCATTGAATGTAAAATAATGTGTGCCTTTTCCATTTTAATGCATCATCTTAATGTAACGTGCCTGCTGCTATTCCTGTCTCACTGAAATGAGTCTGAATGCCCTTACTGGTACCCTTACTGAAATGAATCTTTTCTCTACGAAGTGTACCTCTTTCTCCATGAAGCTATCCTTTTAAAATGTATTTGTGAATGTATCTTTTCTGAAATGCCTAGTATGCTGTACTTTTCTAAATGTATCCAAATTGTAGTTTTAAAGAATGTAACAATCTAAGTATTTCAAAATGTATATACTTGACTCGATATTGTATCCAAAAGGCTGCCAAGACTCTCCACCACACTGCCACCTACTGGGTCTACAAACGAATGAATACACACAGATAAGAGTTCAAAATAAAGTAGTTTTATTTTCAAAAAAGTATGCAAACATCAGGCTATCACACTCGAATTGATAGCAAGGCAGAATAGGATTTCACATTAACATTTAAGCCATTTCCTGAACATCTTCCTGAACATCCAGCCTCACGATCTGCATACTGGTTATCCTGTAGATAAAGGAAAAGCCATTTAAGCAGATCCAAAAATAACCTCATGTCACTTCCCGCCACCTCCTCTGCTATTGATCTGGATGAAAATCAAAAGGTATAAGAATCAAGGCAGTCCTTTTGTTGGGGCTCTCTGACTCCGTGTCATTGCGTGAGCGGGGACCCTGTTGCAACAGTTTTTCGTGTTTTCGTGTTTTAATAAAGATCAGGCTTTGCTTTTTCCAAATCCTGGTGTGGTCTCTGTCTTTTCCCGACTGGTACAGAGCCTTCAATTGCGCTCCTTCCGAGGTCCTGGTCCTCCTTCTGAGGCAGGGACCCCTTGGGGAGGCAATTAAATATTTATTTCACTACACACTGGGATCCCTTGTGCCCTTGGAAAGGAGCTTTATCGTGACCCCCCCCCCAATTGCCTTTATCCTGCAGTGTGAGGACGGTAAGCTTCTTTCACATATGAACTGACAGAAACAGTGGCTTCATGTCACCAGACACATTCCGTGTATAACATGGCCCCATGTATAAGACACCCCCTATTTTGGGGGACTCAAACTTAAGAAAATTGGGGGAGATTGCCCAGAGTTGTGGAGCTTTTCCCTATCAGCTGTTGCCTCGCCGCCAGAAGTCGTATTGACAGCAAATCCACACCAGCACTTGTTGCAGCCACCAATAATACAGCTGACCACCTTAGCCTAGCGGAAGCAACATGGACCTCCCCCCATTTTTAAACGTTAGTTTTGAGGACAAAAACTTTGTCTAATACATGGGAAAATACGGTATATGTCATCCACTCCATAGTCTGGTACATGATTTTTGCACCACTAGCAGGGGCCTGTTTCACCAACCCCTAAGCCTCTGTAGGGAATGCGCTGGGGAAGCAGATCTGAGCAGAGTTGAGTCTTTGAAAAACAGCTAGCGAGCAGCAGATTTGGTCTGGAGGGCTGCAAAATGCTCCTTCACAAGTGCCCCTCCCAGCAAGATTGAAACTCCTCCCCATCTATGAATTGTGGAGGGGGGGGGAGGGAGAAAACACATCCCCTGAGGACTCAGTGTTTAAGTCTTGCTCTGTGAGCCAGGAAGAGAAGGAAGCTCCAGACTCAACTGTAGTGAGCATGGCCTGTGTCTTTAAGAGGCATGCTTGGTCTGGAATAGAAACTCCCCTCTCTGGTTGGGAATGGTTTCATCCAAAGTTCATTGGCACTTTCATTTTATCGATGTAGGAAGTTCATGCTATGCTGGGTCGTTGTACTCCAAATATACCTGCTGAAGTTTCCAACACTTCTTACTTCCTGGTATTCCTGCAGACTCTTTGCAAGGTTTCCTCTCACAGTAAGTATCTTTCCCAGACCCACAGGACGCTCTAGTAGCTGCTGAATTATAAAGACTGCTCCTGTTTCCTTCCTGTATTCAAGGTTTGCTTACGTTCTTTCTGATCCTCTCAACCTCATTCTCTTCCCCTTGAAGAACTCTTCCCTAATTTCCTTCTCCCTCCTTCTGATTCCCTCTTTCCTTTTCCAGACTGGAACATGCATGGGTTTTAAATTAACTGCTATAGTCTATAAATGTAGCAGTGGAAGAAAGACAGGGCAACAGGTCCACCCACTGGCTCTTCTGAGAGACCTGCTCCCCCTGTTCCTCTCCTCCCTGAACTGTCTGCTCTTGGCAGTCCTCCACCTGTCGGCAGCTGTGAGAGAGAAGGGAGAGCAATGCCTCTGCTGAGAGACCAGCTTCATTTCACTTCTATTCTTCCCAAACGGATTCTATGCAATCTGGTCATCAGTGTCAGATGTTTGAAGTTTTACAAATGGGTTTTTTCCACCCCCTTTCCTTTTGGATTGTCTTTCGAGATTTTAAGGCTGTGAGTGGGGACTGTTTGCTCTGCCCTTGGTTTACCACTGTTACGTAAAGCTGTTCTGGAAGTGTTTGCAGCTGCTGAGCAATTGAAATGCTTTAAATCAATAATAATAATAATAATAATAATAATAATAATAATAATAATTTATTTGTACCCCGCCCATCTGGCTGGGTTTCATTAGCCACTCTGGGCGGCTTCCATAGAAACCAAAAAACACTAAAATATCATACATTAAAAACTTCCCTGAACAGGGCTGCCTTAAGATGTCTTCTGAATGTCAGGTAGTTGTTTATCATTTTGACATCTGATGGGAGGGCGTTCCACAGGGCGGGCGCCACTACCGAAAAGGCCCTCTGTCTGGTTCCCTGTAGCTTTGCTTCTCGCAATGAGGGAACCGCCAGAAGGCCCTCGGCGCTGGACCTCAGCGTCCGGGCAGAACGATGGTGGTGGAGACGCTCCTTCAGGTATACTGGGCCGAGGGTTTAGGGCTTTAAAGGTCAACACCAGCACTTTGAATTGTGCTCGGAAACGTACTGGGAGCCAATGTAGGTCTTTCAAGACCGGTGTTATGTGGTCTCGGCGGCGGCCCCCAGTCACCAGTCTAGCTGCCGCATTCTGGATTAGCTGTAGTTTCCGAGTCACCTTCAAAGGTAGCCCCACATAGAGCGCATTGCAGTAGTCCAAGCGGGAGATAACTAGAGCATGCACCATTCTGGTGAGACAGTCTGCGGGCAGGTAGGGTCTCAGCCTGCGTACCAGGTGGAGTTGGTAGACAGCTGCCCTGGATACAGAATTGACCTGCGCCTCCATGGACAGCTGTGAGTCCAAAATGACTCCCAGGCTACGCACCTGGTCCTACATGAGTACCAAGGGTTCCATATACAGGCAAAAGTTCACCTCACCTGGCCTCCTATTGGCAGAAGCAGGGAAGAGGGAAGACTCTTTTGCACTTTAGGTAAACAGTGTGAGAGTAGCCCCAGTGTGTGTACAGAGGGGTTTGTGCCTTGCTTTGGGTAGGTGTGAACATGGCGTAAACCAATTTTCCTGTAGTTGATACATAGTTGCAGTCATCTAGAGCAGTGTTTCCCAACCGGTGTTCCGCGGCACACTAGTGTGCCGCGAGACGTTGCCTGGTGTGCCGTGGGAGGGAGGCGGGCGAGTCGGGCGGCGAGAGGCGGGGCGGCGGCGGCGAGGATCCGCGTCGAGCCGGGGGCGGCTCCGCGGTGATGGTGCCGAGGTTTCTCTCTCCATTCTCCCCTCACACACACACACAGGAAATAACACAGGATCAGCTGACAGGATCCGGCCAATGGGGCGGCGGCGGGGCAGCGCGCACAAAAGGGAGGAGCGCGAAACGGCGGCGGCGCAGGGCGGGAGGGCGGTGCATTGCGCGTGCTCAAACCCGCCCTCCGAGGCGCAGAGGGGAGCTGGGCAAGCGCCTTCTTCAACCACGCACTCGTTTAAAAGTTTCTCTTTCAAAAAGGAAACGTGGGTTTCTTCCACCCCATTGGCTGCGACTCCGCCCACTCCGCCCTCCTCCCCCTCGCCCGCCCGCGGCGCCTCGCTCCTCAGCCTCCGCCATGTACCACTCGCTCCGCTCCCTCCAGCGCCTGAGTTGCGCCAGGGGCGCCGCCGTCCACGCGCGCCAGAGGGGCCCGCCGACCTGCAGCCGCCACGCGCAGCCACGGAGGATGGTGAGCGACGCCCCCCCCGCTGCGCGCGCAATGGAGGGAGGGAGGGAGGCGCAAGGGCGTCAGAGGTGACCTTTGCCGGCCTCTTGCGGGACAGGCGCCTCCTGCGCGGCTGAGGGGCCCCTTCCCGCCTTTGTGGGCCTGATGCGGCCTCAGGGTTCCCTCCCTCTCTCCACATATATAAATTGGCTTTTATTATTAGCGCTTTCGCATTCCTTTTTCTCCCTCCCAGGAGCTCTGGTGGGGGGGGGCGGGCGGGGCTCCCCGCCATTTACCCCCCACAACAACCCTGTGAGGGAGGCCGGGCTGAGAGGATTCCAACCCGCGTCCGCCCCCGCTGCTTCCTTCAAGTGGCGTCCTGGGCGAGGACAACATTTGACAGCCCCTCCCTCAAATATCCCTCATTTTCGCAATAATTTATTTTGGTACAGCTGCTTTTTCCAACGGATCTGTTCAGTGTTGTTATTTGCGCCCCTCTGCCGCCAGCAGCGTCCCAAATCCAGCGCTGCTCCCCTCCTTAGGATGCCAAGCACTCTGAATTGGGAAGTGGCCCCCTTGGGAAGAGGGAGGCTTGCCTCCAAGTAAAGATGAATATGAAAGTACCTTGTTTTTAAGGGCCTGCGGTGGTGGTGGCTGTTTAACATCCAAGGCTCACAACACAAAAACACAAAACTACATTACATGGGACAGTGGTACCTCGGGTAACTGAGGCTTCAGGTTACAGACTCCACTAACCCAGAAATATTACCTTGGGTTAAGAACTTTGCTTCAGGATGAGAACAGAAATCGTGCTCCAGCATTCAATTTTTTTTATAATAATCTAAAAAAGTTAACTACAGCTTTGAAACTTCCCAGGAGAGGCCGCCCAGCGCGGGGCTCTCGCCGTCTGCCTGCCTGGCTGCCTGCAAGCTCGGCAGGCAGCGCCTCCGTCCGCAGCGCCCGCCTCGCGGCTCTCATTCCCTGCCCCTGCCAAAGCTCACCCAGCCAAGCCGCGCTCTCCTTCCTGCCTCGCTTTGCTGCCTCCTCCCCCCACCCCCAAAGCTTGGAGGTTCCCCGGCGCCGGCCTGCAGGTTTGACCCCCTTCTCACACCTGTTCGCGCTCCTTGCACGGAATGGGGCGGATGGGGAGGAACGGGGCTCGCCGCTGCCTTCGCTCGCCCTCCCCCCCTCCGCCGACGGTCCCGCGATTCTTGGCTTTTTGGCGGTTGGCACAGAAGGAAGGCAAGGGGGGGGGAATTGAAACTTACACTTTCGTGCGTCCCTCCCGGCATGACGCTGCACGCTGACGTCACGGGGCTGTGGTGTGCCTCGAGATTTTTTTCATGAAACAAGTGTGCCTTTGCCCAAAAAAGGTTGGGAAACACTGATCTAGAGGATGTCTTTGGACCTATTTCCTAATGGAAGTGATTTGAGTTAATGGTATGAAAACATGTGCCCATGATCAAATTGAGAATTGGAAGCCTGCTGTTGTCAGGATCTGGCTGGCTGAAGTGTGGTGAGAGGCACCAGTTGAAGGCTCAGAGTCAGGAGTTTGGTGGTGGGACACTGAGGAGAGGTCAGAAGGAGAAGATTGGGAGAAGGAGGAGGATGCTGAGAAGGTTTACTGAGCAGGGAAAAGTGATAACAGCAAGCAGTTCAGACTGAAGCAGATAAGGTGGGGTCAAGGAGCTGCTGAAGAATCACGGGAATGGCCCTCTTTGGTTGCAAGAAGCTTCTCCTGTATCCCGGTCTCAAGGAACATGCAAGATCATGGGGAGGGCAGAGAAGAGACAAGAGATCTGCAGAGACTGCTGGAGACTGCTTGGGTAACATCCGGGAGAGTAGGAGCCTTAGAAAGTGTGGAAGAAAGGGACATTCAGTCCCGACAACAGCTCCATAGGAGAAAGACTGACCAGGATGTATTGCTAAGTTTTATGCCATTTTCTTGAATAAAGCACTGATTTCACTGACAACAGACTCTTCCTCTTTGTGCTGACCAGTATCTGACCCAGCCTTGATAGATATGACATGTACTCAGAAGTGAGTTCCTTGGATTTCCCCCCACCACACCTGGTGGTACCACTCAGCTATCTATTGATGGCCCATCACCAACTCCTGAACTCTCCCCTTCCTCCTGCTCCCCAGCTATCCACAGAGCTTGGCTCTAGAACAGTAGCTACCTGAATGTCCCTAAGGATGTGACATAATCTCTCTCCCTCTCTCTCTCATCTTACGTTTTTCAGAGTCATCAATGGCTACTTTCAAATACAAGGGGATCATTTTTACTCAACAGTTTAACTCAGTGGAAAAACTCAGCTATTTGGAAAATGACTTTCAACTGTTAGATGATGATATAGTGAACGTGACTTACCCCAAGTCAGGTCAGTGTTCCAATTAGGTAAATAGACTTTGGATTTAGACTTAAAGTATCCACTAAACCTGCCTGGTATAAGTTTTGCTTTTGACATAAGTCATGAACAACCACCAAGTAGCTGCATAGTCCTAAGCTTTGGCTTAATCCCTGGAAACCCATGTAAAATGAATGAGTTTAGTTTTTCAGATGTTGCGATATATAAGACCTTCTTCAACCAGGTATGAAGGGGGAAAGTCAGGTTAGCTCTCCATCAGTGGGTAACGATTAGTCAAGGAGCAATAAACAAATAAATTATAAGAAATTTACAAATAAGGAAGGTGGACAGCAAACAAGTTGAATATATGAATAGACCTGTCCACCACATGTGAAAGTTACATGTTTTTCACTTTTTGAAGTACACAAAGTGAAACACAGACATTCTCTGAATTTAGCAATGCACTTCTTCAGCTAAGTAATGTGTACAAAAATGCATATACTAGAATAGTGTGCATAAAATACATACTTTAGTGGGGGGGTGTGAATAAAAATTTATTATAGTAATGGAAAATGCTTTGTAGAAATGTGCAAGAAAATTCACAAACTGACATGGAAATATGGAGAATTAAATGTAAGATTGCAAAAAGGAGAAATTAAAATAGACGTATTACACCATCCCTAGCCATTGTTGATGTTCACAGAAAGAAGTGAAAGAACATTTGAAATTCATGGGGATGTCTGGAAACCTTGCAAAAAAATAAGAGAGATTTTCAAATCTTTATTTCTTTCTGGGATATTTGAACCTAGATATTTACAGCGCTCGTGAGCTGAACTGAGAATATTCCCAGGAGAATCTTATATGTTATGGCATGCTTCTGCCATGTCACTAGGAACGCTTTTGGTGCTGGATATGGGCGGTGTGGGTGATTTCCTTGCATGGGGTGCCAAGCCGAGGGGGTGCATAATCACAATCATAATCATAATGAAACCTATATTAATTTGGTTACCTACTGAGAAGATTTATTAAAAAAGCAACTGTACCTGAATGTATTATTGTGAAAATAATTTTTTGGGGGGAGGGGAATTTTTTGTCCTTGCTCAAGGCACCATATTACAAAAGTTGTCTCTGATGCTGTGTCAGGATAACCATATCTAAACGTTGATATGCCATCTGTCTGTTATAGTCCTCATAAATAACACCCACTTAACTTAATGATTGAATTAAAGCAACTTGGATTGACAAGGGCACAGTAAGGTGGCTGTCCACCAGGATAAAAATCCTGTGAAAACCCACAACACAGGAGCTAAATCCTAGGGCTAAGAAGTCTATAGAAAAGCTACCTAGCAGGACAATTCAGGGAACCACAGTAAACTAGACTAAGAACTGCACAAGAAAACAGAAATCTAGCAAGCAGGAAAGTCAATGGGTAACTAAATTAAAAGAAGCAAATTATCAAAACCAGCAGGGGTGTGGGGGTTTTGCATTGTTTTGCACCCTCTGCCAATTGTATGAATATCTCCCCATGGCACAGAAGTCATGTGTATGTCAGAGGTGCCATGAGATTCTGTTCCTCTGGGAACAAGTTCCTTCCCTTGAGGCCAAGGTGGCAGAACTAGAAAGAGTAGGAGGCAGAGAAAGTGGTGGATGAGGCCTTCAGGGATGTGGTAGCTGGGTGACCTTCCCACAATGACAGCTCTCCTGCCGCCAGGTAGAACAAAGGTCCTGAGAAAGGAGAACATCACTTTGAAGAAGAGGGAGGCATTCCCTTAGAAAGGACCCATTTCTTGGGAGTTGGTATTGGGACCTGTGCTTTTTAATTTGTTCATAAATGATCAAGTAGTGAGGTGGCCAGGTTTGCTGACACTAAAAATACATGGTCAGCAAAATGGCAAAGGCAAGTCAATGTAAACAAGTGTAAAGTGATGCATGATGGAGCACATAAGAGGAGGAGACAGATTCATGGAGCAGGCTATTAGTGGCTACTAGCCATGATGGCTGTGCTCTGCCTCCACAGTTGAGGCAGTAATGCTACCAAATACTACTGTCTGGTAACCACAGGAGGGGAGAATGCTCTTGAGCCCATGTTCTGCTCTACGGTTTCCCACAGGCTTTTGGGAGAAACAGGGAGCTGGACAGGATAGGCCATTGGCCTGATCAAGCAGATTTGAGCCTGTTGTCATCTGTGCAACGACTTAGCTAAATAATATAGTCAACTTCACAACTGTATACCATCCCTGATGTGGGGAATCTTGCCCCATAGGAGGATGCTGAATAGCTAGCAGGGGACAAAGATCCATTCGATTGTTTAAGTTTCTCCATTTGATTTAGCAAGGGCCAGACATTAATGTACAGGTGGTTTGATAGAAGAAGCCTCTGACTGGTGGACTTTCTCCTAGGTACTCATTGGATGTCGGAGATCTTGAGCTTAATCCGGAGCCAAGGGGACCCCACATGGGTTCAGAATGTACCACTGACGGAAAGGGCACCCTGCATTGAGTATGCCGATCATTTGCAGATTGCCTTGAAAAACCCTTCCCCCAGGATCCTGACTACTCACCTGCCATTCCACCTTTTCCCCAAGTCCTTCCTCCACTCCAGGACCAAGGTGAGAGAGGAACGATGGACACATCAAGCCTGTCTTTGGCTTCTGTGTTTCTGACACACAGATGTGTGGGATATTGGAGCACAAACACTTGGCACAGCTCATTTTTAGGAGGGTACCATATTTTGTACTAGAGGATAAAGAGGAATATCAGAAATCTCCTTAGCAGTTTCATGATTGCTCGAGAAATTGAACTGGCCATGGTCCACATGCATGCTCAGCCCAGGTCCTCACTGCAGGCTTCTCCTGTTTCCATGTCAGGCTTTATTTATTGTGCTTTCAGTTTGCTGCCACACCCTGCCTAATGTTAGGGTAGGGCTGCCTGGGCTCTCCCTAAATGGGTCCCTGTCTTTGTAACAGGTAGTTTATACTCTGCGTGACCCCAGAGATGCCATGGTTTCAGTCTACCACTTCATCAAAGGCTTTAAAGAATTGAAGGACCTTGGAACTATGGAAGAATTTATGGAGAGTTTCCTGAGTGGGGAAGGTATGGAAGGAGGCAAATCAGCCACTCTTGTTTGCTGTGACCCAGCACCAGTGATGTCCACCACCAGAAAGTATTTATTTTTACATAACTCTACAGTCCTATCAGAGAACTATAATTCCCAGTTGGATACATGGAGAAGGGGAGAAATGCAGGGAAGTCCTACATTTGTTATTTGCTTTCAAAGAAAATCAATAAACGTCCTTTCAGATGGGTGAGATTGGCACCAAAATGAGAAGAGGGTGAAACTTAAGGAAAGTCCTTAACAGCTGGGTGAGATTGGCGCCAACAAGAGAACAGATCAGAATTGATGATAGCAGACATTCTCACTGGTGGCAGAAAGAAAAAGAAACCTTAATGGAGAAAGCCCATTAAAGCGTAAGATTATCTACTCATTCAAAGCTTTACTTCTCTTGTATGTGGAAAATGTCAGTACATAGAGCAGTCAGTAGGTTGCATTGGACCCAGGGTAGCATTGAAGTCTTATGTTACTGATTTTGTTTTTAAGGGAAAATGCAGTTATTTTCTAGGTTCCTGAATGGTGTTTATGTCTACAACAGCATTCTCTATTCCCCCCCCAATAACGCCTTACATTTCACCCTTGCTTCCTCTATGCTCTTCCAGTGGCTTATGGTTCCTGGTTTGACCATGTGAAAGGCTGGGTGGAGATGAAGGACAGAGCCAACATCTTCTTCAACACCTATGAAGAACTAAAGCAGGTAAAGGTCCAGTTTTAACTGTGTTGACCTGCTGCCCCAATTTTAACATTATTCACACATGAAGCTCCCTTTAAAAATAAAAAAGATTCTTGTAATATTGTCCAGAAGAGGATTCCGAACATGTGCAAAATTTGTTGCTACCTCTACGTACACTGCATATCATGTGCAGAGTACATTTCCTTTCTTCTACATGAGAGCAGATGTGCCAATAACCTGCTTTTCTGCCTCAAAAGCAATGTCTCTTGCTGACTCAGATGCCCCATTGGTGCTTTTCTGGCTGAGGGGCAGGTGGAGACACAGTGGCTTCTGCACGGTGATGACAGAAAATTCCACATCTTCAAGGCATCCATCTTACCAGTGCACATTGCATACTGGTCCTCATGCTCTCTGTGTGCCTCCTGATGAAGGGCAAGCTCTCTACATCACATGAGGATTCACAGCCATTTGCTTTTGCTTTCTGCAGGACCTTCGAGGCAGCGTGCAGAAGATCTGTCATTTTCTTGGCAAGGAGCTGAACAGCCAACAAATTGACTCTGTGGTGGAAAACGCCTCTTTCCACAAGATGAAGGACAACAAGATGTCCAACTTTTCCACAACACCAGAGAACATTTTTGACCAGACAAAAGCAAAACTCTTGAGGAAAGGTAAAAACATTGGTTGCCATGGAGTGCCAAGGAATAAAGCCATAATGCTCATGCTAGGGGTGAAGAACCTATTCTTTTTCTGTGGATGTTTGATGCCATACAGAAAAAGTCTATCAGCAACCAGTCAATAGATTATAGAGTCAGAGATGACTGTGAACACAGTTTGCAGGTCCAGAAAGGGGTACAGTTTGCAGGATTGTATACCTTCCTCTCTGTGCAACATCCCATCTAAGTCTATCTATTTCATGAAAGTCCAGATCAAAATAAGGAATTATTCTGAAAGAGGCAGTCTGGAGAAAAAGGGTGTGTCTGCACGATTTTGAGACCTGGATAATGCTGGGGACTCCCTGAAAACAGGTTGCAGTTTCTCCAGGCCATCAAGACACAGTAGTTGCCTCAGAGTTGTTTATGCTAGATTTGTCAGATTCTGTTCCTTTCACATCAATTTGGAAAGCAAGCAGAAATTCAGCAGGCAGAGCAACAGACACACGGTTCATGGAGATCTCTGGGGTGCAATAAGAAAGCATGGCTGGATGAGACACCCAGCTGGTCCAGGTACCCAACAGGCATGCATTAGAGCTGCTGGAAAGCCAGATCAGGAGGGTGGGAATGGTTGGGGAGGGGCTCAGGGTAAACAGTCAGGGGGCATGTTATTTCTCCAATAACATCAGCTACCTGAGGGGTTGCCTGCCTCACAGCTGAGGACAAAGAAGACATGTCCCAATTTAAGTTGAAGTAATTTCAGGTGAACATCTTTGTGGTTTCCACTTGCTATTGTCTTGTTCTAGGGATCTGCGGGGACTGGAAGAACCACCTGACAGTGGCACAGAGTGAACGCTTTGACCGTGTTTACTGGGAGAACATGCGTGGTGTGAATATGACTTTCCCTTGGGAATGAAGAATCCCAGATTGTTGCTCCTGATGTTCTCCACATTCTTATGTATCATATGGTTTGGCTAGTTTCTGCTACCACTGTGCTAATAAACATACCTTATCAGGAATGGAACAGTTGTTCTTTATTTTTTGAACAAATCACAAAGTGTCTTTAGAGCTTGGAGGTCCTTCTGCAGCAGCTGCAGGAGAAATGCTGAGACCAAGATGCCCCTTGAACATCGCCTTCATAGACCTGACGATGGCCTCCAACCTCGTCAACCAAAAAGTACTCTTCACACTGCTCAAGATAGGATGCCCACGGAAGCTTCATGAGATGATTTCCTCCTTCCATGATAACATGCCCAGCACCGTCCAATATGACGGCTCATCCTCAGATGCCTTCCCTGTTCGTGTTCTTTTTAAAAATGTATGGACTGCTCTTAGAAAACTTCCTCTTTGGATGCTAAAGTGCAGGGTAAAATGAATAAATTTATATAATAGGTTAGAGACTGGGTAAATGAATATTTATCTGTTCATTCATAAAAATATTTATATACCACTGTATCATAAAACTAAACAGTAAAATCACAAAAAGCTAAGAACAATTTAAAAAACAAACAAAAAATAATTAAAAACAAACAGCAACAGACCATAGTGGGAGATGTACTCTTAATGGCCTGCACTGGCCTGGCACAACAGAGAATTTTCAAGCAGGCGTTTAAAAGGTGGTACAGAAGGCTCCCGCTGAATCTCTGTTGGCAAGGGGTTCCACAGGGCAAGGCCTATGACACTGAAAGCTCGGTTTCTTGTTTTCTAATGAGACACATCAACATGGGGCACAACTGAAGATGCTCCTTTGTAAATCAATGCAAGTAGCTTGAACCTGGCTCAGTAGCAGATGAGCAGCCAGTGCAGCTGTTTTAACAGTGGTGTCACATGTTCTCAACCAGAAGCTCCCATTAGCAATATGGCTGCAGCATTCTGCAGTAGCTGGAGTTTCCGAACCAGACCCACAGGCAGCCCCACAAGGAACACATTACAGTAATCTAGCCTCAAGAGTACCAGTGCATGAACTACAGTGGTCGTGCTACAGACTGGGGCAAAAGCTATTCTCAGCTGGCATGCTGCTTGAAGAAAAGTGGGAAGAGCAAAGACCAGAAGAAAAAGAAGAGAAGAGGCTGCCAGTGGTGGAAAGTTCTTCACAAGTTGAATTGCAGACTGATTCAGGCCTATTCCAGTGACGGGGGGGGGGGGGGCAGGGATCTGTGCTTAGGCTGAGTCTGGTTGAGGCAGCCCAGGATATCAGAGAGATCCAGGCCTGTTACAGGACGTGGCGTTGGGTGGGGAGCCTGAGGGGTCTGCTTTGCTAGGATGTTCCACGCAGGGAATCAGTGGCGTAACTAGGTTCCCTTGTGCCCTTGGCAAGGAGCTTAATTGTGCACCCCTCCCCCCCAAATTGCCTTTATCCTGCGGGTGAGAAGTACACACAGTGATTTTTGCACCACTGGCAGGAACCAGTTTCATCAGCTCCAAAGTTTCTGCTGGGAATTCCCTGGGGAAGCAGATCTGAATGATGAGCTGCTGAAGAATCATGGAAATGGCCCTCTCTGGCTGCAAGAAGCTCCTCTTGTATCCCGATCTCAAAGAACATGCAAGATCATGAGGAGAGGAAAAGAAGAGACCAGAGATGAACATAGACAGTTGGAGACTGCTTGGGCAACATCCGGGAGAGGAGGTGCCTTAGAAAGTGTGCAAGAAAGGGACATTCAGTCCAGACAACAGCTCTATATGGGAAAGACTGACCTGGAAAAATTGTTGAGTTGCCATTTCCTTGAATAAAGCATTAATTTCACTGACAACGGACTCTGTCTCTTCGTGCTGACCAGTATCTGACCCAGCGCTGCCAAATATGACATGTATTCAGAATTGAGTTTCTTGAATTTTTTTCCACCACACCTGGTGGTACCACTTGAGCATCTACTGATGGCCCACCACCACCTCTCCCCTGCCCCCAGTTATCCCCGGAATTTGGCTCTAGAACAGTAGCTACCTGAATGTCCCTAAGGATGTGGCATAATCTCTCTCTCTCTCTCTCTCTCTCTCTCTCTCTCTCTCTCTCTCTCTCTCTCATAGATGTGGGGGATTCTGGAACACTTGACACAGCCTCTTTACAGGAGGATGCTATATTTTGCATTAGAGAATGGGGAGGAATATTGGGAATCTCCTTAGCAGTTTCCTGATTGTGGAAGAACTTGTGGTCCACATGCATGGTCAGCCCAGGTCCTCACTGGAGGCTTCCCTCGTTCCCATGTCAGGTTTTATTTATCATGCCTTCAGTTTGCTGCCACACTCTGCCTATTAATAGTGTTGGGCTGCCTGGGCCCTCCTTCAATATAGCTCTTCCTCTGTTACAGGTAGTCTATACTCTGCGTAACCCCAGAGATGCTATGGTTTCAAGGTACCACTTCATCAAAGGCTTTAAAGTATTGAAGGACCCTGGAACTGTGGAAGAGTTCATGGAGAGATTCCTGAGTGGGGAAAGTATGGAAGGAGGCAAATCAGCCACTCTTGTTTGCCTCCTGATGAAGGGCAAGCTCTCTGCATCACATGAGGATTCACAGCCATTTGCTTTTGCTTTCTGCAGGACCTTTGAGGCAGCATGCAGAAGATCTGTCATTTTCTTGGCAAGGAGCTAAACAGCCAACAAATTGAGTCTGTGGTGGAAAACGCCTCCTTCCAGAAGATGAAGGACAACAAGATGTCCAACTTTTCTTTAATACCCGAGAGCACAAAATCAAAGTTCATGAGGAAAGGTAAAAACATTGGTTGCCACGGAGTGCCAAGGAATAAGGCAACAATGCTGCATACCAGGGGTGAATAACCTCTTCTATTTCTGTTTTTCTGTTTGATGCCACACAGAAAAAGGCAATCAGAAACCAGTCAATAGTGTGGAGTCAGAGATGACTGTGAACACAGTTTGAAGGTCTAGAAAATGGGCACAGTTTGCAGGATTGTATACCTTTCTCACTGTGCAACATTCCACCTAAGTCTATCTATTTCATGAAAGTCCAGATCAAAATAAGAAATAATTCTGAAACAGGCAGTCTGGAGAAGAAGGGTGTGCCTGCACGATTTTGAGACCTCGATAATTCTGGGGACTCCCTGAAAATAAGTTCCTGATTCTCCAGGCAATCAAGACACAGTAGTTGCCTCAGGGTTGTTTTTGCTAGATTTGGCAGGTTCTGTGCCTTTCACATCTACAGTATTTGGAAAGCAAGCAGAAATTCAGCAGGCAGAGCAACAGACACACAGTTCATGGAGATGTCTGTGGTGCAATAAGAAAGCATGTCTGGATGAGACACCCAGCTGGTCCAGGTACCCAACATGCATGCATTAGTGCTGCTGGAAAGCCAAATCAGGAGGGTGGGAATGGCTGGGGAGGGGTACAGAGCAAACAGTCAGGGGGCATGTTCTTTCTCCCCTAACATCAGCTACCTGAGCTGCCACATGCCTGAGTACGAGGAAGAAAAGTTCTAATTTAAGTTGAAGCAATTTCAGGTGAAATTCTTTTTGGTTGCCACTTGCTCTTGTCTTGTTCTAGAGATCTCCGGGGACTGGAAGAACCTCCTGATAGTGGTGCAGAGCGAATACTTCGACCATGTTTACTGGGAGAACATGCATGGTGTGAATATGACCTTCCCTTGGGAATGAAGAATCACAGAACATTGTTCCTGCTGTTCTCCACCTTCACATTCTTATGTTTGATATGTTTTGGGTGTTGTTGTTGTTGTTGTTTAGTCGTTTAGTCGTGTCCGACTCTTCGTGACCCCATGGACCAGAGCACGCCAGGCACTTCTGTCTTCCACTGCCTCCCGCAGTTTGGTCAAACTCATGCTGGTAGCTTCGAGAACACTGTCCAACCATCTTGTCCTCTGCCGTCCCCTTCTCCTTGTGCCTTCCATCTTTCCCAACATCAGGGTCTTTTCCAGGGAGTCTTCTCTTCTCATGAGGTGGCCAAAGTATTGGAGCCTCAGCTTCACAATCTGTCCTTCCAGTGAGCACTCAGGGCTGATTTCCTTAAGAATGGATAGGTTTGTTCTTCTTGCAGTCCATGGGACTCTCAAGAGTCTCCTCCAGCACCATAATATGTTTTGGGTACCTTCTGCTAAATAAACAGATACTGGATCTGGAATAGTGCTGTTGCTCTAAATTAAATTTTTTTACATGTGTGTTTTCATACCTGCCAACTGTCCTCCTTTGAGCAAGAGATTCCAGCTTAACAGAAGGTGCCCCGGCTCCTCCTCTGCTGCAGGAAGGCAAGGCCTCGACTGCAAGTCCTCCACTGAGGCCTGCTGTGGCCGCAGACGTACTTCTAGAAGCTGGGCTGCACTTCAAATTGCACTTCCAGAAGTGTGGCGCTGGCTTCTGGAAGTACATCAGTGGCCGTGGTGGGCCTCAATTGAGGTCTTGTGGTGGCAGCAGCCTTGGCATCGTCATGGCAGCAGCAATGGAGGAGAGACAGTGAAAGTAAGCCAGTGGGCCCTGAGGAGATTTCACCCCTCCCATATCCAAGAATCTGCTGATGTTCTCTGCTGATTCTCCAGAGAGGAGGGGGCAGTTTCTGCTCTCTACTTATTCTGCTCCAGCCTCACATCAAAGAGAGAGAGAGAGACTGAGTGTTAGAGAGAGATCGTGTGTATAGATAAGGTTGCTGCTAAGAGCAGCTGCAGACACTCAGTGCAGTTCAGCATTTTCGTTTAGACCTCATTTAGCTCTGTACATAGTTGTGTATTATAGTTGTAGATAGAATAAAGAAGATATTCTACAGAGCTGCTCTCTGAGTCGTTTATGCTCTGCTGTACTCTGCTATACTCTGCTGTGCGACGACTGTCTTCCTGTTGGAGTGAATCCGGTGCTCACAACTCTAAGCTGTGAGTCCACAGCACTTTGACCTGTTCCTGTGTAGAAGGTGGTCTCTGGAAGTGCTACCCAGCTCGCCTGGCCCAGTCGGGGCTGAAGTGGATGAGTCCAGTCGGTGGCACTGGCTCAAGGGCGATACTGACAGGCCCAAGACAGCAGGCTGGGCCAAGGAGACCTGAATGTGTGTGTCCTGGATTTGGGTTGGGAAATGTT